TCAGTCTCTGATGCATGTTCTTCACGAAGGCCTGCACCTGGAGGGGGCATGGGGGAGAGTTGGAGAGCTGCAAGAGCGAGCAACTTGCCCAGCTTCTCCCAAGAAGTGCTTCCCTTCCCACCACACTGTGCTGTTCTCAAAGGCTGAGGGGGCCCAGCAGACCCATCTTGAGGGTCCACATGATCCCTTTCCTCAGGCTGCTTACTTTTGCAGAGACAACTCTCTCCTCAAAAAAGTCCAGACCAGGAGCATCAGCCAGGCTCTGAGGGGGTGTGGTGTCAATTGGCCTGATGCTGACAGCAGCCTTCCCAGTGCCCCCAGTCAGCGTGGTGTGGGTATGTCTATGTTGAGTGCCTCTGAAGTTCCTAAACATCTGTGGGAGAAAGTAAGGCAGGGAAGAGAGGGATGTCCCATCGAGTGCTCCAATGGTGGTGTCCGCTGAGCAGGTTGGGATGGCTGATGGTACCTGGCCTATAAAGCGACACCAGGCACGGCCACGATCCTGCTCTTGTGCTCTGGGTCACCAAGTCCCAGAAGGGGGAATAGCGGAGAGTGGGAGGGCGGGAATGGGGAAGAGTGGGAGAACTGCCAGAGGAAGCCAATTGCCAGGCTTCCCCCAGAAATGCTGCCCTTTCCACCAGTCTGTGCTGGCCTCAAAAGCTGAGTGGGCCCAGGGGAGCCGGCTTGAGGGGCCACACCACCCTAGGGTGGCTTAAGCCCTGGCCACAGGCTGCTTACTTGCTTTGGACTGGAGACACCATTCTCCCCAAAAAAATCCCAAATGGGAGAATCAATCGGACTGTCACTGGACGTGGAGTCAGTGCTGACAGTTGTTGTTGTAGTGGCAACCTCCGCAGTGAGATGAGGCAGTGCAGTGTCAGAGTTTGTGGCTTCATCGGTCAACACGGCGTCAGAGATTGCCATGCGATCAGTCGATGGGGTGTCAGTGCTTGTTGTGTCATCAGTCTTATCAGTGTCAGACTTCATTCTTTGATCATTCCGTGTGGTGTCAGAGTTTCTTGTGTGATTATTCAACGCGTGGACAGATTGCTTGTAAGATCAGTTGGCGCAGTGCCGACATCAGGCTTTGCCTTCATCTTAGTCAGCCTGGTGTCAGCCTGTGCCATGGCCTCAGCTTGTGAGGTCCTGGTCTTTCTACGCTGAATGCCCAGGAATTTCAGAAAGGCCTGCAGGAGAATGGAGAGCAGGGAAGAGGATGATGCGCCATGGAGAGCTCCATCAGCAGTGCCAGGTTGAGCAGGGACAGCAGGCCCAGCCCAGGAGGCGATGGCTGCAGGTACCTGTGCTGCCCTGTGGAAACGACCACGGGCACGGGCCTGTTTTTGTGTCCGGTCGTGGCCTGGATCTGGCAAAGAATCTAAGACAGCTGGACGTGAACTTTAGACACAGCTCAAAAACTAAGCAACTTCTCCCAAGGAGCCCGTGCCAGCTTCTGTGGAGGCCCCGTGCCCTTCCCACTGTGACTGTGTCGGCAACTGAGGGGGCTACTTCTACTGCCATGGGCCGGCACTGCAGGGGAAACTATGCTTAGGTTTTTCATAGTTTTACGGTAGTTTCTTTATCCTTGCTCCCTATAAAATCCCCTGCTATGCAGAGCAAACAGTGCAGACAGAAAGAGATACCACAGAATCGTGGAATATCCTGAACTGGGAAGGATCCACAAGGATCATCCAGTCCAACTCCTGGCTCTGCACAGGGCACCCAACAATCCCACCTAATCCCTGAGGGTGTTGTCAAAAGACTCCTTGAGCTCTGGCAGCCTTGGGGCTGTACCCACTGCCCTGGGGAGCCTGTTCAGTGTCAACCTCCCTCTGGGGGAAGAACCTTTCCCTGAGATCCAGCCTAACCTTCCCCTGACACAGCTGCAGTATATCTAAAATACAGCCTGCAATATAGACACAAAACAGGGTTCAATATGCATTCTACAAATCATCTATATCTCTGCTTATATCCTATGAAATAGCCCAGAATGTGTTCAAATGGCATTTACCAGCACATGTGCTAGTTTGGAGGTGAAACCACGCCTCTGCTGTGGCCTTTCTTTGGCTTCGGTTCCCATCCCCAGTCCTTCCCACCTGTCCCCAAAATCAGGCTCATGAGCCCTATTTCTGACTGGCGAGGGGTTGAACATGTTTGCAGCCCAGTTTGAGACAAAGGAATTGATGGAAAATGGAGAGATTGTCACCAGATCTTCTCAGGTACTGGAGCCACAGCTGTAACCTCACAGTTTTAGGGCAGAGTTAAGCCTAAGGAGGGGACTCGTTTTCAGCAAACCTTGGCTTGCTGACAGGATGAATTTGGTTTCCACAATCATCCTCACTCGAGGTCACAAATCCTGACCCCAGCACTTCTCCCCACCTCCCATGCCCAGCACTGCCCCAAACACCATTCCCCAAACCATTTATTCCTCATGTGGACAGTTTCCCCAAGCTGTGCTCAAGAGCTGCACCACCTCACTCTAAAGTTGGGATGCCCCATCCAAGCCTGTTCCAAGTGTGCCAGGGTCACCCAGAGGTGCTCCCACCACCTGTGGGTTGGAACAAGGAAGGAATCGGGGTGCTCAGCCCCTCGATGTTTTGGTGGAAAGGAAGAGTGGTGTCAATCCGTGATCCATGAGAGGGCTTGGCTATGGAAAAATAACACTAAGGGGTGTTTGTGTTTGCTTTGGGATTTGCCCAGGGCAGATCATCTTGGAGGAGGGCTCCAGGCCATGGCACCGCTGCTCTTCCGCCTCAGGCATCGCTTTTCCCAGCAAACTCCCTCCCATCCCTCTCCATCCCCACCGGCCTCATCGATCTCGACGGCTCCTGGTTGCCGTCAGCTCCGTGCCAGCGTCGCGTTGACGTTCGGACATCCAAGAGGAGCACTGTCCTCACCTCTTGCTCCCATTCCCAATTCTCTCGTGTTTTCGGGAGGCGAGCAGGGGAGCAAAGCGGGCAGCAGCTGGTGGTGATGCCGGTGGGAGACCGACCCCCAGCACCAGCAGGGCTGGGGTCGGAGCATCCTAGAGTGCCACCATGGAACACATGGATTTGGGAAGGATTCCTCTGGAGGTGGGATAATGGAAATGGGTTTGGTAATTTTTATCTTGTAAACGACATCATTGTGGTTGTTGAACAGTTTTGTATTGTAAGTGATTTCTACGCTAAATATCATGGTCGAGTTGAAGCTTCAACTGTCACCATGTTGCAAGGGGTTGCCATGGACTACGGGCCAAGGAGCCAGTGTCAGCTGGGATTGGACGGTTCATGGCACCACAGCAGCTCGACCAATCCTTGTTCTGCCCTGTTGCTGTGCTATTCCTCATGCATATGCATGTATTCCCTACCTATCATTGTGACTGGATTTGCATGCTCCTCCTTCCTTCCAGTATTTTCCCTCCCTACCCCTATAAAACCCTCCATTTTGTTAATAAAGTCAGTTCAGCCTTGTGCTGCCCTCTGTTGCACACCTATCTTGTCTCCTTGCCTCTCACTACTGAGCTGCGTGAGTGAGCGAGAGTGTGTGAGCTTAGGCTGGCCGGTTGCTTCTCCGCATAATCATCTCACTGAAGAGCAACGAACCCTGGAGCTGGACTGCTCCTTTCCTTGACACACCGAACCGTGTCA